GATTTGGGTTTGTTCAGTCTGCAGAAGAGAAGAGTGAGGGGGGATTTGAGAGCAGCCTTCAACTTCCTGAAGGGGGGTTCCAAAGAGGATGGAGAGAGGCTGTTCTCAGTAGTGATGGATGGCAGAACAAGGAGCAATGGTCTCAAGTTGCAATGGGGGGAGGGGGGGCTAGGTTGGATATTAGGAAAAACTATTTCCCTAGGAGGGTTGTGAAGTACTTGAATGGGTTATCTAGGGAGGTGGTGGAATCTAGGGAGGTTTTTAAGTCTCAGCTTGACAAGTCCTGGCTGGGATGATTTAGATGGAGTTGGTCCTGCTTTGGGCAGGGGCAGACTGTCCCTGTGGGATACTGGGAATTTCCCGGTCGGCTGTCATATCCACCTGTGATGGGCCGCTGTTGTCCCGCACTCCGAGCAGTTCTGTGTCCCCTCTGTATGCGGCGCATGGAACCTGATCCGCCGCTTGTGCTGCATTCCGGATGTGATGCAGGGAAAGGGGGCGGGGCTTCTGGGACACGCAGGGGTGATGTCATGGCGAGGGCCGTTTCCAGGCCTATTTTGATTGCCAGTCCACTCCTGGGCAGGGGGCTAGATTTGATGACCTACTGAGGTCTCTTCCAGCCCTAGGATTCTATGATTCTATGATAACAATAGTGCTGCTAATATTTAATGCTTACATAGCACCTCCCATCCAAGGATTTCAGAGTGCTTTACAAACAGTAACACAAAAGCTTCATGGCATGCTTGAGAAGCTAGCTATTGTACATACTCTAAAAAAGTAAACTAAGGCACGGAGAAATTTAAATCTTTTTTCCAATACACAGAAAGCCATTTGTAGAACTGAGTAAACCATAATTCATGCTCCCTTGCTCTAACTACTAAATCATTTATGAATGATTACTTAAAGCAATATAAGGATTTCAGGTGCTTCAGCAATAAATAATCTAACTAGCACCCACTGCCTGCCCTGTGGCTGTCTGGCTAAGTAGTATAGTGAAGTGATTTGTTTGTACAAACAATTTAGGGTCTTTCCATATGGAAGATACTACGCAAGTAAAACAGACATAGCTCTTCATAATAGAGTCAACCAAAAAAATAGACCTCTGAAAATCTACAGGTATCCACTTTATATTCGCAGGTACAGTAGACTTCTGATAATCCGGAACCTATGGGACCTAGGTGGTGCTGGATTATCAAATATGCTGGACTATCAGGAGGTACTATAAACTGGTTATATATATACTGTATACATTATATACTGTATATAAAGTGTTCTTAACCCTTTTTATTGTACTTACTGTATACAGTATACTGTAATGTTTTGGTTTTTTTAAACCTTTTTTACCCTTTTTGCTCAGTTCAGCTGCTGCCACTGTTACCTTGTGACTCATTTTTTGCTGAAGCTCACTCACTAGGCTCTTGCCATTTTGATGCCGGACTATCAGGAGTGCCGACTATTGGATGCCGGACTATTGGGCTACGTCTACACTGGCCCCTTTTCCGGAAGGGGCATGTAAATTTCACTAGTCGTCGTAGGGAAATCCGCGGGGGATTTAAATATCCCCCGCGGCATTTAAATAAAAATGTCCGCCGCTTTTTTCCGGCTTTTAAAAAAGCCGGAAAAGAGCATCTAGACTGGCCCCGATCCTCCGGAAAAAGTGCCCTTTTCCGGAGGGTCTTATTCCTACTTTGAAGGAAGTATTCTTCAAAGTAGGAATAAGACCCTCCGGAAAAGGGCACTTTTTCCGGAGGATCGGGGCCAGTCTAGATGCTCTTTTCCGGCTTTTTTAAAAGCCGGAAAAAAGCGGCGGACATTTTTATTTAAATGCCGCGGGGGATATTTAAATCCCCCGCGGATTTCCCTACGGCGACTAGTGAAATTTACATGCCCCTTCCGGAAAAGGGGCCAGTGTAGACGTAGCCTTGGAGTTTTACTGTATATAGCTCGCTTTTGTGGATACAGATGCAGATGTGGATACAAATTTTGTATCTAGAGCACTGCAAATTTGCAGACGTCTGCTTTATTTCTGTGGGTATCCACATCAATATATGTGAATGCAGACATCCACGGATCAATTTTGCTACTGCAAATGTGGATACCAATTTTTTATCCACACAGAGCTCTACAAAAAAGAACAGAATCGGAAGGGGAAGAGTTTACTGTAAGGATTCTAAAAAACTTATTACAAAAAAAAGAATAATAAAACATTCAGAAAACCTCAGATAGCTAATCATTTTTCACTAAACATTCCACATATTCATAATGTAGGTATAATTTATGTTTGAACCTCTGAGTGGCATTGTTAAATCTGACAGAAATCCCAACAAGGATGAGGCCTTTAGAGTAGGTACAAAGTAGAATTAATAACATAAAAGGGAGCTGGGTTGCCACCAACCAAAAGTGTTCCCATCTGATCATCAAGGACATCAGAGATTTGTTTTGCTATATTATGAAATTTGTTATCATCAGTGCAAAAAAAAGGGGGGGGGGAGTCTGAAAGCTAACTCGGCCAATTAGAATGCTGAGGTTTTCTTTCATTTATGCCATGTCTTTGTTAAACGGAAGCTTGACGCTGCCTCAATCGATCTTCCAGAGTTTAATTTAGTGCTCTGTTGGTAGCCAGCACTCCTGCTTCTGTAAGGGAAGCCAATGTGAGTATTTGGTCCTGTCGACCTCCTGCTATGGCAGTGGTGGGGAACCTAAGGCCTGGGTGCTGAATGCAGCCCCTGGCTTGCCTGGATCCAGCCCCCGCACTCTACCCCCGCACAGGCCTGGAGCACACAATCTACTAGATTGGGTTCCCCTTGTTTTGGTGTATGAAAGGAATGTGAGGAGTATGTCAGTGAGGTTTGGGAGTTTTTTGTTTTGTTTTATTTTATTTTGTTTTTACTTCTCATTTGTGTGTAGCCCAACTGATTTTTCTGTGGGTCAGTGGCCCACGACCCAAAAAGGTTTCCACACCCCATGCTGTGGGGACAGCGGGGAAACTCAAAAAAAGGTACGTTGACTCTAGCTATGTAATTAATGTAGCTGGAGTTCCGTATCTTGATTTGACCTTCCCCTTTAGTGTAGACCTGGCCTTAGGCATAAGTTTCATGTAATTCCTATATAGAATCTGTTTTATAGATACAAAAATGTTTCAGACATTCCATAAAGTCAATTTTTTCATAAATCTGTATTCCTATGTAAGTATTGTCTGCAATTTGTTGTTCAAAAGTTGATTGCAAAAGGGGGAAATGGTAGAAGAATGAAAAATAAGTTGCCTTTCCTCTAGAGTTTAAACCATATTTTAAAACAGTTCTTGCTAGCTGAGTGCTGAACTAATTTACCTAACCCTGACTGGGGAAGTAGGATCTATTCTATATCATGGTTTTGTGAAACCATGTTGCATATGTTATCAAAGTTATCAAGTGAAATTGTGGCACTTTGAAAGAGATTGGTTTCTCCTGGACTTTTGAATAGATGGCTTAGGAAATGTCCAACAATTACAAAATTCACAGCTGTGAAAAACATGTTCTGGACCATGAAATCTGGTCCTTTCTATACTTTTACCCTAAAGTATATAGATTTCACAGGGGAAACCAGCATTTCTCAAACTGAAGATCCCAACACAAAAGGAACTTGGAGTACGTCTACACTGCATCCCTAGTTCGGACTAGGGATTCAAATGGAGACGACAGAAGTAGTTAATGAAGCGGGGATTTAAATATCCCGTGCTTCATTAACATGATCTCGCCGGCTCGCTAGTTCAAATCTCAGCTGATTCGAACCAGGAAGTGCGTGCCGGGACGCGTTAGTTCAGACTAAAGCCCTTAGTCCGAACTAACGTTACTCCTCAAAAACGAGGAGTAACATTAGTTCGGATAAGG